AGGAAACAAAAATAACAACGAGAATTCACCATCCAACTGGCTTGCTTTCACTGAAAATGAAAACAGTAAATAGACAAATCAAATAGGCTCTTTGGGTTCTATTTTGATTAACTAATGCCACAACCAAATTAATTGGGAAGTAATTTGGACAGCTCCACTCCGTTTTTCTGCACCAAAGCTCAAAGACAAAGAATACTGTATATCCTTAAACATTTTAAAATGGAAAAAAATAATTAGAGTAGTCAAATGTCGGCTTCCATTGATATTTTGAGCTTAATTTTCCACAAATAATATATTAAACATTTAATCACACACTAAATAATAGAACAAAGAATCTAAATCATTCACATAACCGATTTGATAAATTAGATCCAATCAATCGGTCATTTTTTTATTTAACTCAACTGTTGGTTTTGGTTAATCATTTCATTTACTAATAAAACAATTTCTGTGTTTCCTATTCAACTACACTTCTCCACATTTCCTAATTAACTGCACTCCTTTTTATTAACTATTCATCCCTAGACCCAATGCTTATCTGATCTGTGTATTTTCCGGAGCAACATCAAAACAAATAGAATCTGAATGCACAAAGGCAATTTAATAGAACCAAACTCAAATCAAGAATGGATGTAGGGTAAAAACTAAATAATCAATTTGATTGTAAAGGCTAACATGATAATTACAATGATTTAGAAAAAATTCCTATTTAAATAATTCTAATGAAACTCTAAATATGAACTAGAATTCCCTCCAACAAATTGACAATGGTTGTTGGACATTATCGGGGCGGTTGTAAAATCTAATCCTTCAAATGCCTATCAGTAAACAATCCTGATTCCCAGTGTTGAAGAGGATCTCAGTTTTTAGCTCTCTACCTATCAAGGAAGTTTGGAATTTCCAAGGAGTTTTTTACTGGGGTTAAAAGTTTTTTCTATTTTGCTGAGAATTGTTGGCTTGTTGGATTCCCCTTGATTGGAATAATATCTCTCCTTTTATAGATAAAGGAATCCTGAAAGGTGGAATACCCCTAAGTGAGATAAGTTTTCAATAAGATGAGAATTCTCTCAAGATAATATTTTAAAAAAAATAAAATCAAAATAAATCTAATTTAAATCAAATTTTAGATAAATCTAAATTTAAAAACTAACAAAAATTTAATAAAATTCCTTAAAAAAATCTTCTCAGATCATTTTCATGTATTAAAATTTTAATACATGTTTGTGTGAGATTTTTTTTTAATAATTTTCATCTTCTAGCTAAAAAAGTGATTTTGCCTACTTGAAAATCTTATTTTTGAGCTATTTTTCTTTATACTTTAATAAAAAATAATCAAAAGAATACCCAAGTTCTATTTTTTACAACTAACAGAATTATTATGAATAATTTGATTTTTTGTTGAACAAATGTATGATCAACATTTTAATTAAAATCCCAATTTATCCATACCCAATTTACTTATTGTAAAAATCCTATAACTTATTAATCAAACGGATGGTCTAGATATTTTAATATAATAAATAATTGTTATAACTATTTTTACCAAATATTTATTTATTAATTTTTTCTATTTTTTTAGCAAAAGTTGTAAATATTTTAATTTTTATACTTTCAGTACTTTTTTAACTAACTTTAAAATTTAGCATATTTTTTTGTAACTATTGCAAATAAGCCCTTAATCACACACTAAATAAGCAAAGAATCTAAATCAATCATATAACCAATTTGATAAACTATAAAACAATTAATCCAATCAATCAATCATTTTTTCTTATTTAACTTAACTATTGATTTTATCAATTATTTCCCTGACTAATAAATCAATTTTTGTGTTTCTTATTCAACTACACTTCTTTGCATTTCCTAATTAATCATACAAATTTTTGATATGAAGAATGATGATTTTGATATTATCTACCAAAATAATTTTTACTTTGAAGTTGGAAAGTTGCTTGGAGAGCAACTTACTTCTAATAAAAAATTGGTCCATCAAGAACTAACTTCTCTTATAAAGAATTGACTTCTTTTGGCAAATTGGTTCCTAGTAAACTGATTTCTCAAAAAAAGTTAATTCTTAATAGATCAACTTTTTTATAAAAGTTAATTTTTATAATATCGATTTCTCAGGAGGAGGCAGTTTACCACTCATCACACAAAACTAACAACCATTAGTCACCAGTAATCACCGGTTGGCCACCCCAGCATTGTCAGTAGTGTTGCCACTTGGTGCCGGTCCCTTACCACCGTCAATAGATGGAAAAATCTGCCATGTTTTTTATTTTGAACTTAGATTTAGGCAAAGCAAGATTAGTAGTAGAGGTGCTTGGATGCCACCCATTGCTTGCCACTCATCGCCTATTAATGTAGAGAAGGAAATCGTACGAAGAAGAGGAAATCTCAAAGTTTCTTCAATTGTGAAGAAGCTGGGACACTGGGCAAAGAAAAGGACGCATAAGTAGAAGAACAGCCATTGCACATTGCTCATCACTTCTTCATCACCATTATCAAAAGTCTAGATTTGAACCCATACAAGAGGCTATGGTGCATAAAAGTGGCCAAAGAAGTTGAGAGGGCAGGCTCCGATGAATCCTTGTTTTCTTCTGTTAAGCCCTTATTGTGGGCTTCTGATTGTGTGTCATGTTCTCGGATCTAGGAGGAAGGTCATATAGCTCCTCAGACAACAACGGTGAAGACAAAGAAGACGAAGAAGATCACAGTCAAGGTCTTCACAAATCGGTCAAAGATGGAGTTGTCTGACCTTGTTCCCATATTTGTTGTAAAACAAGATAAAAATGAGTAGGGGTGGGAGGGAGCGAGGGCGAAAGCAAGCAAAGTGATGCAAAGTCGATGAAAAATAGTAGAATCTTCATCTTCTTCCTCTAGCAGTAACTCTTAAACCCAACGCTTCCTCTTCATCTACAATGATGCGCGCTAGAATTGCAAAAGGAGATGACTCAAATCTCCTTCCCCTCGTTGCCTTCCGGGATTCCAGTGTGTGAATGCAGATGTCCTTCTCTGGCTACCCCTATTTTGGCTTTGTTAGTTGAACAACTACCATGGTGTTGCTTCGGTGGCCGACTGACAATTTCTTCGTAAGCACTATAGTAGTGTTATACTCTAGACTGACTTATTTTAGCCAAATTAGACTTCTATTGGAAGGTCGGTTCTGGTCAAACCGCCTTCTATTTAAATATTTCAATGAATAATCTAGAGAAAAACGTATATTTGATAAATAAAAAATAAAATAAATATACCAAAAAGCCCAACCGCGTGTACGCTCCTTTTTGATTTTTTATTCATTCCTAGACCCAATGCCTTTCATATATTAAATATTTAATCACAGACTGAATAATTGAGCAAAGAATCTAAATCAATCACAAGAGCGATTAATCCAACCGATCCATCATCTTTTTTGATTTAACTCAACTATTGGTTTTGATTAATCATTTGCTTAACCAATAAATCAAGTTCTGTGTTTCTTTTTCAACTATAATTCTCTGTATTTCCTAATTAATCACCCTCCTTTTTAATTAATTAGCCCTTACCCAATGCTTTCATATGTTAAACTTTTAATCGCGCACTAAATAATAGAGCAAAGAATCTAAATCAATCGCATAACCAATTTGATAAAGCAGAAAACAATTAACTTCTTCTCCAACTAGGCGGGGCTTGTGTGGGGCAATATTTAATTCCTCAAATAGTTATGCATTGTAATTATTAGGTCAGTGCATGCATACTCATATTCGTGTATCAAGACTTGATTAATTTAAACATAATTATTTGTGTCATTAGTTCTAAATGTGCATACATTAATGATGGTGGTATTGACCTCAATAAGGAATCTCTCCCTTTCTTTTGATAAGAAAAAAAGAATCCCTCTTTATTTATTCTTTTCTTAAGCTTGTCCCACCTTACACATGTTTCATGGTAGACGAGCGGATAGAAATGAAACAAGAAGAAAAAGATGACCGCTCAGAGTAAAGGTTTTGAATATTTTAATTTGATATAATAAAATATTTATTTCTTAAATATAAATCAAAACATTTATTCAAAGATGCTTTTTCATTTTTTATTGCCAATTCAAATTTCAAATACAAGAAGATGAAGAAACCTAGAAAAATAAAAGCTAAAGAAAAGGCAAAAGCCCAAGAAAATGACCCAACCAAATTGGAGCGGGTGGGACCCAAGGGGACCATGCACTTAGCAAGACAATGCATGGAAAAAGCCCACTTGCCGGAGAATCCAAACCCGGTGGGCCACCCGAAAGAGACTTTTTCTTCTGCTTCTTTGTCATTTCTTCTCGCAACAAAAAAGATGATGGAAATTGCCAAATAAATAACGGCGTTAAAACGGCCGTCAGCCGACTTCGGGTGAGAACTCAGAATAAACGTTCACCTAACGCGACACATCTCGTCCTCGTCCCTCCGGATTCCGAATTTGAATGCTTTTCCCCAAACCCCGCCGAGCGTGGACGCTCCACACCGACCTTTCCACGTGTCATATTCTCACTGGAAGCGATCATTAAGTGCCGTGGCAACTCCGCAATCTTCGTCTACAAATACAGCCCAACCCATCATTCCTAATCGCATTGTATTAACAAGAAAATCACAGAAGGAAATTTTACGAAACCTCTCATCAAGGTATCACCTCTCTCTCGAATCTCTCTGGTTTTCTATCTTCTGTAGAATTTGCTTGGGCTATGAGTTGGGTTTGAAAATATTTGTATTGGTGTCATAATTCTCTCTTCATTCTCCAATCACCATTTTCATTTCTTCTAAGGACTTGATTTGCGAAATGAGTTGGGGTTGAGGATTTGTTTAATGGGTCAGAAAAGTTTTTCTCTGTGATCTTGAATTTTACGATTGAAGGATGTGTTAGAATTCTGTTGTGGGTCTGAATATTCTAATTCCAAAAAAGTTCCAATTGTAGGGTTTGAAGGATTTTTCCTATAATTTTCTAGTTTTGAATGTTTTCTCAAGTTTTCTTTTCGGACTCTGCAGATGCAGATCTTCGTTAAGACCCTCACCGGAAAGACTATCACTCTCGAGGTCGAGAGCTCCGACACTATCGACAACGTCAAGGCCAAGATCCAGGACAAGGAAGGGATCCCACCGGACCAGCAGCGTCTAATCTTCGCCGGAAAACAGCTCGAGGACGGCCGGACCCTCGCTGACTACAACATCCAGAAGGAGTCAACCCTCCACCTCGTCCTCCGTCTCCGTGGTGGCATGCAGATCTTCGTCAAGACTCTCACCGGCAAAACCATCACCCTCGAGGTCGAAAGCTCCGACACCATCGACAACGTGAAGGCTAAAATCCAGGACAAGGAAGGGATCCCGCCGGACCAGCAGCGACTGATCTTCTCTGGAAAACAGCTCGAGGACGGCCGGACTTTGGCGGATTACAACATCCAGAAGGAGTCCACCCTTCACTTGGTGTTGCGTCTTCGTGGTGGTATGCAAATCTTCGTGAAGACTTTGACGGGTAAGACAATTACCCTCGAGGTTGAGAGCTCCGACACCATAGACAACGTCAAGGCCAAGATTCAGGACAAAGAGGGGATCCCGCCGGACCAGCAGAGGCTAATCTTCGCCGGAAAGCAGCTGGAGGATGGCCGGACTCTTGCGGATTATAACATCCAGAAGGAGTCCACCCTTCACCTAGTGCTTCGTCTCCGCGGTGGTTTCTGAAAATTTCATTGTGGTTCTTGCGTGGTTTGAAGCCTGATGCGGCCGCTTGATCAGTTGTTTCGTGGTTCTTCTTATGGGAAATGTTGCTCTGTGGTTGTGAATAAATATTTTGTGGGTTTTTAAATGATTTTCCTTGAAATAAAATTGTGTGCTTTCTTTTCAAATGGAACTCGTTTCTTGGAGATGTGTATAGCTATCAAATTATGGGTGTAATCCCGTTGAACAGATAATGTGCTTTAATTTCATTTATTTTCTTGTATAAAACTTAAAAAAATTATAAGAAAAGCCCTTATTCCGGGATTAACTTACTTTTTAGTCCTTTCTGGGCTTTTCATAATGATAACAAGTATGCAAAAATCTATACAGCACACTTCTTTTGTATTGTTCTTCAGATAGGCAAATTATATACAATAATATTTTATGATAAATATAAAAATTTCCAATTTGATCTCTAAACTGTATATATGTGTTAAAAGGGGAAGGTTCTCTGTCTGGCCCTAATGAGGCATTAGAGTTTAAATGTTATAAAATTGTGCTTATATTTCAGTAACATGGGAAAACTGTATACAATAAGAAATTATGTTCTGAAGAGATTCGAAACTTGTTTATTATTTATCAAAAATATTTATTATTTGGGTCTAAAACGTTTAAATTCAATCAATTTCAATTAATATTGATATTTTTTAAAGATAGTTTAATTTTCGAAATTTGTTTAGTGATTTTTTTTTTAAATTTGTTTTAGGTTAATAAGATATGTATTTTATACTGTGCTTTACTTTTAATTAAAATATGAGTTATTTAAATTTTATTTGTAATAAATGATGAAAAACTTTTATGTTTTGAATCCAAAAAACTCGCCATCTTACGCTACGTTATCACTCCTGATTCTGCGTTCACTGGGTTTGAATGCAGGTGATGAATCCCATCTGCCGCTGCAGCATCTTCGACCTGCATTACCCAGCATTACTCTTACTCAAAAAATTGACCACCGAATGAAATAAAGCCACGTGGCAAGACAACATTCCTTTAAACACAGCCCAAATAAAATTCGGTGTTTTTAGTTTGCTTCACAATTGTTGAATTAGTACCGATTTTAAATATAATCGAATGAATGTTAGAATTTTCAACTTAACAAAATAACCGGTGAAAACCAAAAATAATTAACCAAGTAATTTCAAATAGCCTTATTCTAATATTATTTAATAATGGTAATTTATATAATCTAACAAAAGCTAAATATTATTTTAAAATCTTATCATGTGACACAATTAAAACTCTTTGTTAGAGTAATACTTGTTACTCATAACATTTGTAGCTAAGTGGTGAGCAAAGGATGGAAATGTCATTCTTACTAAATAAATAAACTGTTAGAAGCTGGATGGCCACTTGAATAATAAATAAATGAACCCCGAAATGGAGAAATCAATGCCAAAATAACAATGCCCAGAAAGAAAGAATTCCAACTCTAAGCATTAGACCAAGCAAATATAAAACACTTGCTACGCTTTATATTAATTATAGTCGCTCCTATTTGTACTAATAAAGAGATAATATCAAATAAAATCGAACTTAATTAATCTAATCCTCAAATATCTAATTTTGAAATTTATCTTTCTCCCATCTCTTCATAATATTTTATTTATAAACAAACAAATAAAGCAATTAAATAGATAATATGAAATGATGACTAGATGAACAAATTTTTTTGCTATTAATTAGACAAATAAATAATGAGAATTAATTAATTAATAATTTGATTACAAAAAATGGTGTCTTTTCATTTCTCAAACAAGGGTAAAAGAAGGATTTTTATTTCATTTCATATTATTTTTATTTTATTAATATTATATTCTTATTAAATTTTGGATTATAAAATACTTATTTCTTTTTAAATTTGTTTAAATAATACTTAACCCTATTTTTATAATGAAGAAAATACTTTATCACTTTAACTAATTGTTAACTATTAGTTGTGTGATGATACTATTTAATGAGAGGTGAAAATAACTTAATTTTATTTATTTGAGTTACCTATTTAATTAAAAATTAAAATATTATTTGATTTATTTAGTAATATTTTTTTAAGTTTTTGATTTTTAATTGTTTAAATAAAAATATAAAAATAAAAATCTAACTTTGATAATTTAATTTTACTATTTTTTAATTATCTTAAATTTTTTTGGTTCTATTTTAAATGTTGAAATAAGAATGGAAAAAAGTTAAATAAAACTAAAAAATCAAAAAATAAATTTTTTAAAAATTTAAAATAATAAAATTAAATTATCAAAAGTTAGATTTTTTATTTTTAAAATTTTATTAAAAAATTAAAATGAGATATTAAAATTATTTTTTAATAAATTAAATAGTATTATAATTTTTAATTAGATGGTTGAAATTAAATTATTCTCATATTTTTTCTAATAAAATTATTAATTAATTATTAATTAAATAAAAAATATTTTTTAATAATAAGAAATAATTAAATATCATCTAAACAAAGAAAATAAAATATTTTCCACTCTTAAAATTTTAATTTACAAAAAGCGTAAAAGGAAAATATAAAAGAGCAAAAAGTCGAGAAACGAAGGACAAGCTACATTTGTATCCAAAAGACGTGATTTCCGGAGTCAATTGCCTGCGTACCGCTGCCATAGATTCCCAACCTAAGGGCGCGTTTGGCAGTAGCATTAACTGTGTGGCTAAAATTAACTTTTTCCATAAATTCCCCCGCCCATCCCCGTCGGATTTGTCCTCGAGGTCTCCGCTCTCTCTCTCTCTTATCCGAAACCTCTTTTCTGTTCTCCAATATTTGTTCTTGTAATTCTCTTACTGTCTCGTCTCTTCCTCAACCGACCAAGAAGTCTAACCATTCTCTCAGATCAGGTACTGGATCTTTCCTCTAAATTGCGCGCATATTTATTCTTTCTGTATCTGGCTCTCATATCAAAATGACGTCGTGTGTTATTTGGGTGTTTGTTCTTGTTCTACGAGTGAATTTGGTAATTCTTGAGCTATTAAATGAAAGGGAGCATTTTTTGCTTTAGATATTTTCGTGGGTTTGCTATAAAATCTTTCCTTTTTGCTGAAAAGAACAAGTACTACTGTTCCTTCGCTTGCCAATTGATTGGTATAACAAATGCTGGGTGAATTGTATTTTTGTTTACTTTCCGTGGATTGCATTTATTCTTCTTTAATTTGATTTATTTGTAGCATAAGGATAAGCAATTACTGCAACCTATCCTGTATTTATATAGTAGTTGTCTAAGATTTAAGGTTAAAAAATTATGGTAGATGGACTTCTACACCTTGAAAAGTTGATTGCCATATGCCAAAATCTTCCGCAAAATTGTTCTCTTTTTGTTTGTATCCTTAGAGGAATTCCTGGTCAAAATGAAATGGGGTTATGGAATTTAGAGGTTCTAAGTGGAAGAATTCTTTCCCCACATGTTGAAAATTGAGATCTTAATAGGAGGGAGACAGGGCATCTAATGGCCAAGTAATATCGATTTTCAGTTGCATTACTACCCTGGTAGTTCGGTTTTGAATTAGCTCTATGATTTTCTGCCGCCAATGGTTTTGGTTGTCACCTTGTATAATTAAATCTGAGCAGTATCTACATTTTCCAATATAAATATTGGTTTTTTATTCCCATTACGAGGTATTCTAACTTTTTTTTTTTTTCTCTGTGAGGGAGGGGGAGGAGGTTGAGAAAGGATAGTGACAGATGGATTTACTGATATATTTCCAAATTTGGATAAGTTTTCCTATCCAAATTGCGTGAATATAGGTTTAGCTTATTAGCTATATAGATAATATCTGGAGTATTTGAGCTTGGAAGAGCAACCTGCAGTTATCCAAGTTTAATTAAAGAGACATATGAGAACAATCTCATATTAACTTATTACATTACTTCTGAGGACTTAAACAAGAAATACGTCTTTGTACCAAAATAATGACTGTGCTTAAATGCAATAGTCAAGGGTTTAGTTTCTAAATTTTTGGAGTTGAAAGAGTTGTAGCAAGGAGGTGGTTCTCTTAATCTACTCTAGCTGTTATCAAGAGCTTACCTTGAAAACCAGGGTACTCATGAGCTGGGACTCTAATACATGTGTACTAGTCAATGATTTATACTCATGTAATTTGCTTTATGTAAGTTATAATCTCCAAGTTTTGGAATCCATGATTATTTATTGAAGACAACTGCATTTTTAGTTTTTCAACATACCCTTTACCATGTACATACTACTGGGTCTACTCTGATGCCATACAACTATATGCATTAAAGCACAGTCCGGTACAATTTTGTGTTGAATATCAACTTATTCTGTACTAAAAATGGACAACATAAGTCTTGTTATACTATGTGGGGAGTTAAATAATGATACGTTCATCCTCTTTGCCACCAACCTGGGATTGCATATAACTGACTGCTTTCTGATTCTCTTGTTTTTGATCATCATTATTGTTATTATTGTCATGTGATCCTATTATTGTTGTAGTTCTTGCTATTGTTGTATCCTAATTGGTGCTGTAGCTTGCTGGCTTCAGTACATGATTGTTGATGGAACTGTAATTTTGTTTCAGCTCCCAGCATTTGTATTTGAAAGGTAAGCAAATTTGCTTTCTTGGTGCTTTCAATCCCAGCAGTCAAGTTTCATGTCTGAACTCGATATCCAGATCCCAACTGCCTTTGGTATGTTATTCTTTATTTTGTTTTGATTTACTTCTGGTGTCTTAGACCTGTTTATGTATTTATCCTTGTGTACTTTATTCCATCATTTAGTTGGTTCTCTTCCTATCTGATGCTGTATCTGCCCTCCTCTTGGCACTGTTTCATTTCATATTCTGTTAACCTTGGTATTTTCAATTCATCTTCTGTGCTTTTGAAAATAGATAACACTGAAGATCTAAATGTTTTCTGCTTTCATTTGTTTCCATTTTCAATTGAATATAGTTTTTGGGAATTCTAACAACATAAAATTGTTTTCTGAGGAGTCTTAATTTTTGAAAATTCCCTCTGAAATAGTTTTGGAAACATCGTGCCATGTGGGTTGTTTTCAGAAACAGAAAACAATTTCAAAAGTAAATCTGAAAACATGATGCCCTTGATCCCCTTCCCTGGTGCAGATGAAAATAACCCTTCTGTTAAATGAATGATTTTTATTTAACCTTGGTAGAGTACATTCATGCAGTATATTGATGTAAAATGGAGCATTCATTTGCTTCTTGTAAACAATTGACTTCCACTTGCTTATTTGTGTTCTGTTTTTTGCTTGGAAAAAAAAATTGCCTAATAGATCCATTCGCCGAGGCAAATGCTGAGGACTCAGGTGCTGGGGCAGAGGAATACGTTCATATCCGTATACAGCAACGCAATGGAAGGAAAAGCCTGACCACTGTCCAGGGATTGAAGAAGGAATTCAGCTATAACAAGATACTCAAAGACCTTAAGAAGGAGTTTTGCTGCAACGGCACTGTTGTTCAAGACCTGGAGCTGGGCCAGGTAAGCACATGATAGGCCAAATCCTGTTTTATAATGTGTTTTATTTAGTTTTTAGGTTATCTGATTATCTTACAAGTATTATGTAAATAATGGACTTAGGTTATCCAACTTCAAGGTGATCAGCGGAAGAATGTCTCGACCTTTCTTGTTCAGGTAATTCCCATAAAGAGCATATTGGGGATCCTAATGAATTTACCTATTTGGATTTGTTCTTGAAAAAACACTCTTGTGGCAAGTTGTTTTTGACTATTGTTTTTTGGGAGAATTTTCAGAGAACCAAAGAAAGATGTTCTTAAAATCCTCAGAAAATTTTTGTTTTGAAAACAATAGATTTGTTTTGTGATTTTTTTTTTTCAGTAAAATTTCTGTCTTGGAAAATATGGAAAGTGAAAATAGATATGGAAGACATAATGCAAATCCAAAGAGGCCTGGATTTATTTCTAGAAATAAATTTCTACTGTTGGAAGCTAAATTTCTGTTTCGCGGGTTGTTGTATTAAAAAAAAAAAAAAAAAAAAAAAAAAACCTATAGAGAAGGGATGAAGTTTGCATGATTTTCATTGTTTTCTGTCTCTGGAAAAAGAGAAAACAAAGCGATAACAGAACACTGAAAACATACCCAAGCATATTGCGGCACCCATAGAATGTTGTGAGCCCTCCACACACCCAGGATCAAGTAAACCGTTACCCAATGGGTGCAACACCCGGCATCAACTTTACCTCTGTCTTCTAACTAATGCTTTTTGCCGTTGTTTTGTGTATAAGGCTGGCATCGTGAAGAAGGAACACATTAAGATCCATGGTTTTTAGGGGACTGCAACAGCTGATCAAGCCTCTAGAGGGGAAACTGTTGCTTTACCTAAGAAGAAATTGTAGGCGCCCCTAGTTAAGTGCCCTAGTACTGCAAGTTGCTTTGAACTTGGTCTCTGTTGTTGTACCGAGTTTTAATTTACTAACCTCTGGTGTGAACACGATTATGCCCTCTAATTCCAACTGTTTTCAGGGTTTAAAAGCTTCTTTCTGTCTACTTCGTCGTGGTAATGGCCTTTGGCTGTGAAGGAGTGTGTTTTAGATCTTTCATTTTATGCTTCCTCTTGATATCTTGAAGTATCTGAGGGTTAACCGGGAGATGGAGTAAAGTATTTAAGAAAATTTCATAAATAATTAAACCAATTTTAAGTACAGGAGATAACCAAAAAAAAAAAAAAAGGAATTTTAGAACAATGGAAGATGTAAGGTTAATTTCTGATTTTATGCCAACAAGCTGAGAGAAATTATATTTCATGGATTTTTTTATAACCAAATGAATAGAAAGAGAGAGGGGGGGATGGAAACAATGAAATGTTTTAAGCCTATTAAAACCTCTTTGTAGAGTTGTCAATGGGTTGGATTTAAATCTGAATCCGATCTAAATTTTAGATTATTTAACCGATTAAAATGTTCGATGAATTAAATCCGATTATAAATATCCGTAATCCGAAATAAGTAGATCGAATATAAAATTAAGCAATCTGATCCGATAAAATTCGAATATGAATATTTTAATAATAATTTTTATTTAATTAATAATTATATATATTAATAAATACTTTTATATATAACGTAATACATATAACATTATAATTAATAATGTACTAATTTATATTTGTGAGACATTTTATTTAATAAAATAATGTATATTTTTTCTAAACTAATTTATAATATTCTTTTACTTTCCTTAATTTTAATTTTTCAAATAGGTATTATATTTAATAATTAATTAATTTCGAAATTTCATGAAACACTTGAATAAATTGTTTATAAAATTTTCTAAGTTCTAACTATAATACAAATAAAATTTGATAATTTTATAAAGTATTGAAATCCTCTCATGACATTTGTAATATATTATATAACAAAAGTTTTTCTTAATCATTCATAAATAATAATTTATTTTTGAATTTTATTTATATTTTAATAAAAGTAAAATAATTAAACATAAATCTTATATGAATTTTTATCATTCATAAATAATAATTTATTTGATTTTATATATCTTTTACTTATTAATTATTTGATTTTAAATATTATTAACAGTTATTCGGATCGAATTTTTTATTCGGATTTCGGATTTTTATCAGATTTAGATTCGGTAATAACAAGTAGAAATCTTATAAAATTTCGAGTCGTATTCGGATATGCATATTGATAATTAGATTTAGATTCGGATCATCTTGATTTGATTCGAATCCGACCTATTTACATACCTACCTCCTGGAATATTGATGAACGAAGGGTGGTTATTGATTTGCTACTGGATTACCTTCTCCACAGTCCGAATCCGTTTTTCTGTTGATTAAGACAAATTGTTAAATTATATGGGTCTAATCCAATTAATTTGTATCTTTATAATCGTGTTTGACGCATCCAAACAACAACCTTGCATTCATTGCACGAGAGGGATGGCTCCTTGGCGTGAGTTGTTTGACTTCTCAGGCTTGTCAAGAAGTCCAAAAAAATTTACTCCTCCTGTAACCTGTTTAAACTTACGGGCTTTATATATTTAAAAGATGTTATATTTTAATGTTTAAAAATTAGGAAAGAAATAGAATGCCTTCATGTACCAAACACCCATTTAGATTCCTAAAATATTGAGGCATGCATGTTACTCAAAATTATAATCTTGTGCTCTTTGTGACACTTCAAGCTTCTTCTTTAGAATTCTTGTATTTAAAAATTGAAAGCAGAAATTCCAAATTAAAAGAAGAGAAAGAAAAAAGGTACCCATTACCCTAGTTCCTCTATTAGTTGAGCTAACTTGGTAGCTGTCCTTTGGCCTAAAAATTCTGATCACGACAGAAAAAGTTGCTGTCAAGGGTTCTGCCTGGTTGTATATATAATAAGACACATACATGTCAAAGAAAAAAGAACACTGAAGTATTGGTTAATTCCGTCTGAATTATTGAATTTTTGTATTGGCTTTAAAGGGCCTTTTGTTCTCTTCTACTCTACAGCCTGTGTGCATGGCCCTAAGTGAGAAAGTTGTGGAGTTAGAGACTTGTGCTTGTCTTGAGCACACTGAATCAAGTTAGAAAATTGCACCAAACCTTGGATCTAACCACATGACCCCCTTTTTTTTAATTTATTTTGAAGAACTGACAATACAATTGCATAATTAAGTATAGGGAATGGGTTTGCATTAGTCAAATTTGAAGTCCTAAGCCTAACCACTATCTAAGATAGTGAGAATTTTAATAGGATCAGGATGATAAAGCCTGTATTAGGTTAAAGAAATACTACCCAACTTGTACTGCCTAATGGTAACTTGAAGAATAAAATGATTGTTTTCTTGGCCCACAAATGAGAGGGTCTAACTTTTTACAATAGACAACTTAGTCATTGACCATAAACCAACTTGTCAAATTTAAATTATTAATTTATTACCAAAAAAGAAATTTAAATTATTAATTTAAAATAATTAAGTTCTATATTGCTTTCTTGTGATTTTCAACATTAAACTATCTAAAATTAATAACTCAAAGTAGAAAGAAATATTATACACACACACACACCCATAATGTGTGCGTATTTTTGCTAGTTGAAGTGAACTTTTGTTTGGTTGTTGGGATGAATCGTACTTACACAGTTGGCAAAGAATGTCTAGACACAGAGAAATTGCCAAATACAGAGTCGACATATTTTTGAAACCTGTACCTTCTTTGGCATGTAGTAACAATGGGTTTCCTTCTTTCTTCTGTTTATCTTTAGAAGGCAAAGCATTCAAATCTCAAGCATACGTTTTGTTCTACCAAATCAATGATATATAACTTAGGATTTATAGCTTTAGCATATCAATTATATATAATCTGGTCATATAATATTTTTGACCTTTTAGATTTAGAATCCAAACATATGAGTTAAGAAAATCGGATTCCCCAAAAAATAATAATGATAATCAGATTACCACATTCCCATTTCGGTGGATTGATTCTTGGTTATGGAAGGAGATCTTACGTGTAAGAATATATGTTGTTGAAAAGGAAAATTTTACGTAGAGACATGCTTACTGCAGACCATATATATAGATCCAAAAGGGTTCCTCTTTCTGCAAGATTATTTTGCTCTTGGTCATGGGTAACTCGGGAGTTGGAGTAATGTCCATGGATGAGGCATAAGCAGCTTTAAACATCAAATCAAAGTGGTTAAATCCTCGTGAATTCAACTACCTATCAAAATTGTCAAGACATGGAGGACTCGCCTCTCTTTTCAACTACCAGTCTTCAAGAACTATTGATCATCACCGTCCATTCGCAATCTGATGAAATATAGGGTGGTTTTCTCTTCTGGACCCCTGGTGTTTGCCTATAACTATCAGACTTGCTTCAAGTTTTCAAAGTCATTGGCATGCTAGCTCTTGAAGCAATTAATTCTAACTGGTGGGTTTCAGATCACTAGTCTTTTCCCTTCTCTGTGTTTCAGATGGCTGACTCAGAGCACTCCTCCTCTGATGACACTTCAGTTGACTCGAGAGGTGCACCCCCTCCCGCCCCAGGCGTGGGTTTTCTAGTATCTATAACAATTTCTGATTATCTGTATTTTGTTTTCAGTTCTCCGTTTTTGTGCCTTCGAGATGGCTAAAGATTTTTCAAAACTCTGTTACTTTCGTATCTTGTTTGTTTTTGAGGGGAATTATAGTTTCTGAGAATCTTATAAGCCAAATTTTTGTTATTTTTCAAAGGGGGCCTGTTTTTTGAAAATTCTATGGAATACAGTTTCCAAGTACAACCAGCCCAAATAGGCTTTTTCTTCTCAAAAACACAAAACAATTCAAAAAAAAATAATATATTGTTTTCTAAAACAGCTACTTCTTTTTTAGTGCAATATATATTTCCTTGGCTATTTCATAAATTACTGGGATCACAAGGTTGTACGCAAGTGGAATAATTGCTTGCTAAATTGAGATTTAACTTTTGACTCTGCTGTGTTGTTTGTTGCAGAGGAAATCAGCAAAGAAAGCGAGCTCAAATTCTCAGAAGATGAGGAAACACTTATTATAAGGATGTATAACTTGGTTGGAGAGAGGTTAATTGATTTCCTACTTTCTCTTCTAAGTTTTTATTTCGATTGAGTTGGAATCTTTAGTTGTATTAACAGGAGATTGACATTGTGTTCAGGTGGGCTCTAATTGCAGGGAGGATCCCTGGAAGAACAGCAGAGGAAATAGAGAAGTACTGGAACTCCAGATACTCAACCAGTCAGTGAAGCGGGATGTTCACACTTCTACTGTGGCTTGTTTAATAGGACAAAGTAAAGCGTGATCTAGGATTTTCTGTTTTGTTTTCTTTATTTTAGTTCTGTAATTTGTAATTTGCAAAATGCTTTCATGCGACTTCTCATTTAAGGTTTTTGGGGATCTAATATAGCTGTAGTCCTTGTGCATTCAACTTTCCTCTGTTTTTTATTTGTTTTTTGTGTTGACATATATGTAAGGCTAGCAATAACCCATTAACAACATTATCTTAATTCGTCTTTAATGACAAAATATTATATTAATTATTATAAACTGATAATAATAAATAATAATCCACATCTTTGTGTCCTGTTCTGCCCCATCTCTAAGGCCTTGTTTGAAAATGAAGAATTAAGAATAGGAGCATATTTGTTTCCTAGATAAGGTGTGGCATTCACTGTATAGCCCTCAATATGTGCTCCTCCCGTCTGGACGCAAAAATTGGATGGGATTTATTTATCCAGTAGCATAGGGTACCCTTGTACTTAGTTTTACGCGATACCGGAGGGAATTGTCGTCATCTATCCAACAATAAACCCAGTAAATGCAATAGTGGAAATTTATTCAGTTGCCCCTCAACCGGATATATATTGTTTGCTTAAATGCTGTTATCTAATTCTTGGATCAATTTCCAGCTTTATCATTTTCAGAACATTCTTTCGTTCTTTAAAAAAAATTTAAAGCAAGTTTGTCAGCACCGATGGATAAAGTTTAGTCATTTTCATTATTTATTTGATGTTAAGTACTATCCAAGTACAATAACTCTCTTGAATATCGAACACCAATCATAATAACCCTATAAATAAACAACTGTTGAGACAGGTGTCCAACAGCAAACACTGCTGCCTCGGTGCACCAAATATACCCATTTTCGTTGATTGGCTCCAGCTTGACAAGATAGAACGGAATGTTTGCTCAGATTAAAACGACGGGGGATTTCATTCCTAACCGAAGGGTAATTTAGGAAAGTCATCTGCAAATATATATCTTATCCACATCAACTTTCTCTCCTCCAAACAACATCGTTCTGGATTTACTCAATTAATCCTTTTCTTTTGCTGCTCCTTCAGCTGCGGGATTTCCAGTCTCTGTTCTGCATTGGATTCTTTTTTTTTTTCTCTCTCTATTTTTTATAGGAAATTTTTTTTTTTTTTAAAAAAGCAGCCTGCTGGAGTCCACTGGGAGAACGTTATGCGAGGCAGTTTTTGTTGTGTGCGTAATTGTCTGCGCAAAGTAGGCTTCAGATCCAAGCAAGAGACCATAATTTTCTTTCCAGTAATTAAATTTGCCTACAACGATTGATAAATAAACAGTTGGTGCCAGGGAAAGTTAAAGAGAGAGAGAGAGAGAAGCATTTCTAGTTAATAAATTGACTGTTACAAGCGGGAAAAATTAGGAGAGCCCCCTCAAAACACCGAAAGAAAAAAGTAACTTCTTTTTGCATCTGCAATTTCCAGGAGTTATAAACTGGCTTAATTCTTGGGTTAATGTGGTTTATGCCTGTTTTTCCTTCTGATGGTCCTGTTTTATAGGTCTACTTAGTGTATGATGATCGCCGAAGGATGTAGAGATTGTGAGGGTAAGGCCCTAGTAGAATTTGAAAAACCTGATACCGCCACCTCCCTGCCAAAGAAGAAATAACTTGTGACCCGGATGCCATATGTGAAATAGATGGGTTGGAAATACATATCTTGATTGATCAAATACCCGGAATTCTGTTCATCTCATCCTGCGTTGGTAATTGGCCTCTAAACTTATCCTCAAACATTATTCAACAAAAATTATAACGTGCGATATCAAATCATGTCTGAGTAATGTACTCACAGCAATGAATTTGAGCTCTATCTATTTCAAATTTAATTAAGGATAATTTAAATCATTGATTTTTTTTAACACTATAGATCTTTTCTAAAAACTATACTTTGCTCGTCTTTATTAAGGATTTAACGATTTGTGATTCAAATTTTAAACATGATCCCCGCTAGACCTCCAACATACCTCATAAATAGATAAACAAATAAACAGCTTGTCTTGTAAAAATTAGTTTGATTAACCAAGATCACTTCAAATCTTTTCTTCACAAGAAGGCATGATTAAAGAGTCCTCCTGCCTTCCATATATAAATATATTTTATTATTTTGTACCATATGGACTCACTTTTGGATTTCTTGTATTCACTTTAGACATCGCCTAGTCCCAAAACATGTTTGCCACCTGATACATTATTTTATATACAAAACGTGGAGAAGAAAAGCTCTTTCCTCTGGTTCTCATGATAGCCACCCATAGAAATATTCAAAAAGTCGCCAAGTTGAGCTTGCTTTTCTTAAAAGTCCCACTTTTTTGTTCCATAAATTTATTCTAAAAAAGAGAAATTATTTTAATATAACCAACAAATTTAAGTCCAAAGAATGGGCATCTGTATTAGCATCATGATGGGTTGTCAAATTAATTATATTTTGATCATAAGTTAAGGACGGTAGAAGATAGTCAGAGAGATGGGTCTGGTGTGGCCGTGTGCAAATCCAGCTCCATGACACTCACTGACTCTTAAATTATAAAAAAAAAAAGGCCGATTCGTTCTCTCTCTCTCTCTCTCTCTCTCTCTCTCTCTCTCTCGCGATTATTATTATTGTTTAGTGAAAAAATGCAGTTTGCCGTATTGATAGGATATGAGGCAAAATGTAAGACACTCTAATGCTGCATTGCACACTGACCATCACATACACAAATGTAAAATTTTAAACAATAATTTTATATTCCATTTTTTGATCCACTGCCACCGTCCACTTAGGTCATGTTTGGCAACTTAGAATTAAGATGGGATCAGAATAGATAATAAGAAGATCAAAGCTGGAAATCAGAAACAAGTTGTGTTGGTTATTATTATAAGATGGGACTCGTGAGTTTTAAGATTTTTTTTAGGTTTTTTTTTTTTTTTTTTTTTGGATCCTATTTCTATCACTCGTAATCTCACCATTTATAATAGCTTTAAGTTGTAAAAACCCTCAAACTCTTCTTTGTCAAACACAAAATTGACTATTCAATTTCAGAAACACATCAAACACCTGAAAATTATTTCCCGAGTATGTATGCTCTTTCCAGATGCAAATCAAAAACATCCAAAATTGATTCTAATTTTAACTTTTATCCTATTATCAAACATAGCCTTAGATTTTAGCCATAGAGTTTGACTTCCATGATCTCTATTAGCTATTGATATAATGGAGCTTGATTTAGACAAACCAAAGGACCCCAAATTTTGACTGCAATGTCTATTTTTGGGTCCTTACTTTTCAATTTGTAGAAGAATTCAGATAGCTATATGAACATAAAAAACGCTAATTGGGTAAGTTGAAAACCCAGGAATCTAAGCAACACTTCTGTCAAAGTGCATGTCAACATACATTGCATTATCCAACAAAACTATTCTTCTCACATATTCGTAAACAAGTTGGCCTCGTAAAAATTAGTTCAAATCTTTTCCTCAGGAAATGGCATGATTAAAGAGACCTTCACTTACCTTTGAAGAAAGGGCATTGAGATTTGCCAAGGATTATAGGATAATTTCACTTTGAAAGCGAAAACATTTTTTCTAAAATACAGAAATGACATACTTTTGGATTCCCTATATTTGTATATGTGCTGTAAAAGCCATCACAGAGTGAAGTATACTAGTATTATCACCTGCTACACTAGTTAAAAAAACAAGTTTTTCTTTTTTTAATAAAAAAATTCTCTCTCTTGGTGGGTCTCATAATAGCCATCCACAAAGAAAATCAAAAAAGGTTCCAAGTTGAGTCTGCTTTTCCTAAAGCATACTACTTTTTCTGTTTCATTATTAATTAGATGGAATTATCTGAGCATATGACCACTCAGCTGCACTGCATTATAATATACTGAGTCACGACTCACCAAAAATAATTAACATGTTTGTATATACCCAAATTATGTTTTGATCCACTTTGTTCAATTGTACTGTGTTTATAAGGGTGGCACAGTATGTCTGGATTAACCTTTCAAACAAAAATTTTAATTGTCATACACAAAACCATTCTTCCTACACACATGAAGAGGTGAGGGGAGCTTTTTTAACTAAATTAAAGTAATTTTTGCCATACTTTGATTATAATGAGATCAAAATTTAAAAAGAAAATATTTAGTAAGTCAATTTAAGAATTAAAGAAGTTTGTTGTATGCTCATAAGTATATTAGATTTGCATGTCTAGCTCCACTAGTTCTGATAATTTTAATTTAATTATGTAACAGAATATTTGTTAAGCTTTCCAAAGAGTTATTTTTAATTTGAAATTAAATTTAAAAAAGCCCAGAAAAGTCGAAATCCAAACAAAACAAGAAACTAAATTACAACACCTTGGGAAGTACAAACTCTCACCAGATCACCGTTGAGAACCCTCCTGACTTAATTGGGAGATAGCCTAGTCCTTCATTCCAAGTTCTTGGAATAAGCCCAATTTAGCTAAATAATTTGCATATTCATTCGCCTATCTGGAAGTGTGTATAATTTTAACTTGATACAATCACTAATTCTAATTATAAGAGGAGCATACTGAACTTCACTGGGAACTCAGCTCTCGATTATCTCAACAAGGAGTTTTGAGTCTGTTCCCCAAATAATCCTCTTAAAAACCCAATAATGAAGCCATCCTCCTTCCTAGGTTCCCCAAGTCTCTGTTATGATCACATCTGCAATGCCAATGAAATTAGAAAAACCCCTAATCTAATTCGTCTATTCTACGGCAATTCTATCTGTTCCTCCATCTTGTAGGTCTCTCTCTCTCTCTCCCCTCCCTATTTTGTATGCCCTACCCTATTGTGTGGCCGTGACCCATCAAGCCTTGTGTCATTTCCTGATTTGTAACTGGTTCTGCAAACCTCAAGTTATCAGCAACAGCTCCTCTGGGTGCCTTTGTGAGTTCGGCCACCCTTCGTGCAATTACAATCAACGCTAACCTCTCCAAGCACAATCCAAAGTGGTAAGCATCCATTTCCCTTCTTTGCTGGTTTGAGTGGTCAGTGGCTATGCTAAGGGTTTTGCCATGGGCTAGA